AGGAAAGAAGAAAAGTCGTCCAAATTGTAGGCGGACAATTGTTTTTAGGCGCCTTACTTTGACCACATATATACACCGTCCAATTCTTCATTCAATTCACATATATATTACTATTCATAGTCAAACAATGAATAGTAAATGATAAGTTACTGAAATAACCCCTGAACTATTTGCCACTTGCTAATTTTGGAGGCAACTTTTCCACAATCTCCACCTTGACGTCAAAATTAAGCAAGTCATGCTTTACGATTAGTCAAAACATATAGCTCATCAAACTCTAAAACTTCCATAAGAACCTGCAAATTTTATATAGAGAAAAAATTGTTTCTGAAAAATAAATAATATTTCCTCCACCACGAGCCTTCAGGCTCAACTGCGATCAGAAACACCCACCATGTCCAAACATAATTTGAACTTGGCTATAGGAAGACTTTTGGTGAACATATTAGCGGGATTATAATCTGTATGAATCTTGTCCACAACACAATCACCTTTTTCAATGATATCCCGCACAAAATGATAACGAATATCAATATGCTTTGTTCGGTCATGAAACATTTGATCTTTACTCAAGAAGATAGCACTCTGGTTGTCACAGAAAACTGTGGTCGCCTTTATTCTATCATTGAGTTCTCCAAATAACCCCTTCAACCAGATATCTTCCTTAACTGCTTCTGTAATCGCCATGTACTCTGCCTCAGTAGAAGACAGGGCAACTGTAGACTGTAACTGGGCTTTCCAACTAACAGCACAACCATTTAGAGTAAACACATACCCTGTAATTGATCTTCGTTTATCCAAATCTTTGCCATAATCTGAATCAACATATCCGAACACCCCAGTGTTAGATTTACCAAAACGTAAACACATAGAAGACGTACCGCGTAAATAACGAAAAATCCACTGTACTGCTTTCCAGTGTTCTTTCCCCGGGTTCGCCATGTATCTACTAACCATGCTAACAGCATAAGCCAAATCAGGGCGCGTGCAGATCATAGCATACATCAAAGATCCAACAGCACTAAAGTATGGAACACGTGCCATGTAAGCCATATCAGTCTCATTAGTAGGACTCAAAGCGGATGATAGCTTGAAATGAGCTGCAAAAGGTGTGTTGACAGACTTTGCTTCGTGCATACTGAAGCGTCTTAGGACTTTCTCAATATAACTTTTCTGAGAAAGATGCAAGATCCTAGACTTCCTGTCACGAATAATTTCCATACCTAAAATCTTTTTGGCAGCTCCTAAGTCCTTCATTTCAAATTCAGCTTTCAACTGGTCTTTTAACTTCTGGATCTCCTTCATATCTTTTGCTGCAATCAACATGTCATCCACGTACAAGAGTAAGTAGATCTTTGAACCATTGTCACCTTTCTTGAAATAAACGCAGCTATCATAGGTGCACCTGCTGAATTTGTGACTGGTCATGAAAGAATCGAACCTCTTGTACCATTGTCTAGGAGACTGCTTGAGGCCATAAAGAGTTTTGTTCAATTTGCATACGTAGTTCTCCTTTCCAGGAACTGCAAAACCTTCAGGTTGTTGCATAAAAATCTCTTCCTCAAGCTCACCATTTAGGAAAGCTGTAGTGACATCAAGTTGTTCTAACTCAAAATCATTAGAAGCAACCAACCCCAACAATACACGAATGGAAGTATGTTTGACAACTGGGGAATAAATGTCAGTGTAATCAATACCAGGAATCTGACTGTAGCCTTTAGCTACTAACCGAGCTTTGTATCTTGGTTTATCATTTGGGTTGACAGGTTCCTTGAGCTTGTAGACCCACTTGCATTTAATTGGTCTCTTCCCTTTCGGAATAGGAACTAAATTCCAAGTACTGTTTCGCTGCAAAGATTCCATCTCATTTTGCATAGCGAACATCCAATCATTTGAGTCTTCAGATTTGATAGCCTCGTCATAATTTGCAGGCTCCGTTGCAGACTCAATATTATCAGCAACAATAAAAGCATAGGCAACCAAATCAGATTCAGCATACCTCTTCGGAGGAATAATCTGTCTTCTCGGTCTATCTCTTGCAATGCTTGGAGTAGTAGCTTGTGGTTGTGAAGGTGTTGAATCTTCACCAACAACATGCTCATCCGACGAAGAAGAATCTTGATGCTGATTTGTACTCTGATTAGTGGTAGGTGAAGTAGGAAGCTCCACCTCCATTTGAGCATTCTCTTTATTTACTTCGGATGATACATCTGATGCATCTGTTCTTTTAGAAGAGTCAGCAACTGGTTGAATTATAGCAGACTCATCAATAGTAACATCTCTTGAGATGATAATTTTCTTCAAATCAAAGCTCCATAACTTGTAACCCTTTACACCTTGATTGTACCCAAGAAAAACGCATTTGATTGCTCTTGGTTCTAGCTTCCCATTGTCAACTCGTGCATACGCTGGACATCCGAATGGTTTTAAATCTGAATAATTTGCAGGTTTACCGGACCATAATTCAAACGGAGTTTTCTTCTCGATTGCTCGTGATGGTGATCGGTTGATAACATAGCAAGCAGTCGAAGCAGCCTCCGCCCAAAAAGACTTTGGCAATTTGGAATTAGAAAGCATACACCGGACCTTCTCCATAATGGTGCGATTCATCCTTTCAGCTACACCATTTTGTTGAGGTGAATGGACTACTGTGCGATGTCGAGTAATGCCTTCCTTTTGACAATAGACATTAAACTCTTCTGAGCAAAACTCAAGTCCATTATCCGTACGAAGATACTTTACCACCAGACCTGATTGCTTTTCAACCTGAACTTTCCAATTTCTGAAGGTAGAGAAAACGTCTCCTTTATTTTTTAAGAAGAAAGACCACACCTTCCTGGAGAAATCATCAATAATAATGAGCATATAAATAGCTCCACCTTTTGAAGCAACTCGAGCCGGTCCCCACAAATCCGAGTGAACATAATCAAGTGGTCCTTTCGTTGTATGGATACCACTTGCAAACCTCACTCGTTTTGCCTTGCCATATACACAGTCTTCACAGAAATCCAAATCAACAATCTTTTGTTGACCAAGTAAACCTCTTCGACTCAATTCTGACATGCCTTGAAAACTCATATGGCCGAGTCGAAGGTGCCAAAGACGGGACTAATCTGGATCAGAAAAAGACTTTGACACAACAGCAGCATCACTCAAAATTGTTTGCCCGTCAAGAAAGTAAAGATCTGAGGTTTTTCGTTCGGCTCTCAGTTTGTCGGAACCGTCTTTGAATACCCTGAGAACTCCACCTTTACCAGCAAACTCGTATCCCTTTTTGTCAAAGGAACTGAGAGATAACAAGTTTCTTCTAAGGTCAGGAACATATCTAACATCCCCCATGGTTCGAATAACTCCGTCAAACATACGGATCCTGACTGAACCATGTCCAAGAACTGGACATGTAGTATTGTTACCCATCAACACATAGCCCTGGTTAACCTTTTCAAATGTGTAAAACCAACTTTTGTTGTGACACATATGAAAAGTACAACCAGAGTCGAGTATCCAATCACCAGTGGAATCCAGTTTATCTGAATAAACTGTCAAAAGTTCTCCAATACCTTCGACCTCAGCTAGATCGACTTCACCCGAAGTGCTAGCTTGTTTACCATTTGCTGCCGTCTTCTCTTTTTCTTTGTTCTTCAACTTGAAGCATTCTTCAAGCACATGTCCCTTCTTGTGACAATAGTTGCAAAACTTTCGTTTGCCTTTTGACTTGGATCTGGTTCTGTTGGAAGATTGAGAAGTTCTACTTCTCTCTGTTGTTCTTCCTCTGGCATTCAAACCTTCGGCTTTAGCATCACTTTAACCACCACCAGTAATATGCTTCATCTTCTCTTTTGAATCCAAAGCTGTATAGACTTCATCTAAAACTAGAGTGTCACGGCTATAGATAATAGTACCACGAAAATGGCTATAGGATTCTGGCAACGACGATAGTAAGAATAGAGCCAAGTCTTCATCTTCATACTGAACATCCATATTCTCTAAATTATTTACTAACTCTTTAAATGTGGATATATGTTCAGCTAAAGAGCCTACTTCAATCATCTTGAGATTGAACAACCGTTGCTTCAAATGCAACTTGTTTGGTAAGCTCTTGGTCATCAACAGTTGTTCCAACTTTAGCCATAAAGAAGCCGCTGACGTTTCTTTTAGAACATCTTGCAAAACATCGTTTGACAAGTGCAAACGAATCTGGGATAAAGCCTTCAGATCTTTCATCTCCTTTTCTTCTTCGGTCCATGTATCGGGCATCTTATTGAAACCCAAGAGCGCCTTGTGTAAATCCATCTGAATGAGAATGTCTCTCATCTTTACTTGCCACAACGGAAATCGGGTGTTACGATCCAGTAGTGGAATATCGTATTTTACCGAAGACATGATTAATTACTTGATAAAATGATCCCAACGAGCTAATATCACAACCTGGATGCTCTGATACCAATTGTTGTAAAATACGACGGATCCAAATTGACTTAAATAATATTAGCTCAATGCGGAATGGGATCAAAAATTATGAAAGCGTAATAATCACAACGTAATACGAATAAAATAAATAGAATAGAGACACAGGAATTTACGTGGAAACCCAAATCGGGAAAAAACCACGGGCGGAGGAAGCCGAGAAACAATTCACTATAATTTGAAGTGTTTACAGGGATTATGAAAGAGATTACAAATAGAGTGGGAGAGCTAAAATACACGGTGGTGTATCAGTATATATATGTAATACTTTTTTATATATACTTGGATGATTTTTTTTTTTTTGGTTGTGTTCTTTCCTCTGGTTCATGGCTTAGGCTATTTATAGCCAAAAGCAATATCATATGAAAGGAAAGAAGAAAAGCCGTCCAAATTATAGGCGGAAAATTGTTTTTAGGCGCCTTACTTTGACCACATATATACACCGTCCAATTCTTCATTCAATTCACATATATATTACTATTCATAGTCAAACAATGAATAGTAAATGATAAGTTACTGAAATAACCCCTGAACTATTTGTCACTTGCTAATTTTGGAGGCAACTTTTCACAGGAAGAACATATAAACATACAATCTTCAACCCAGTCTAGCCACCTTCTACGCCACTCAGGATTGTTGTAAAGAATTGCAACAAATCCCAATAATAACACGAAACATGTGGAACAAGAACTTGCATAAAAGCATGTCATATCGATACCATACCATTTCTCATTGTCTTCTTCATCCGATGGATTAGTCACCACCTGTGAATCAGTCGTACATTTCTTCTCCAATGGCAGCCCACAAAGAAGTGAATTCCCATCATAGCTTGCCTCGGTAAAGGTGCCAAACTGTGCTTTCATTTCTGGGAGTCTACCTGAGAGATTGTTGTGAGAAACATTGAAAATAGATAGAGAAGTCAGCTTAATAAGTTCTGATGGAACTTCTCCGGTCAAACCATTTGAAGAAAGGTCCAAGCTCTCTATCTTTGCAAGATTTGATAAGTTCACTGGAATGGGTCCAGTGAGGTGATTGTGAGACAGGTTTAAAGCACGAAGTTGGGTTAACAACCCCAGTTCTTCTGGAATTTCACCTGTTAATTTGTTACATGAAAAATCAAATCCCGCCATGTAATCAAGGATCCCACCCTTGTAGCTAAGAAAGAGCATTTTTGTTGTATACTGAACTTCGTTTTGTGGTTCCAATACTTCACTGTCGGGGGTCAGAGAATCTGAACCCTGTAGAATACTCCCATAACGGGAAGAGGAATCAATGATAGTCCCTGATACCATATTTTTAAACAAGACCTGTCTTCCAGATTATTATTTCTCACCACAAGTTCAGACAACTCATCCATGTTGCTTATCCATTCAAGGATGACACCTGTAAAAAAGTTATTGCTAATATCCAGAACAATCAGATATACAGGTCTTTCTTTGTTGTAATTTCCAATTTTCCCTGTGAAATGATTGTTGTCTAAGTAAACCCATTGGAGGTAACCCCAGCTTAAGTTTCCTGAGAGTATCTGGCCATGCAATTTGTTCTTTGATAGTATTAATGTATCCATAGTACCTGTAAACAATCCCTTTGGTACTTCTCCTGATAACCCATTACCAGATAAATCCAGCATCTCTAATTCACTCGATTCGCCAATTGAGGATGGGATAACACCACTTAAAGCATTCATGGACAAATTCAAATACTTAATGTTGGGAAAGAACTTTTGTATATTGTCGAGAATAGTACCTATCATGCGATTTCCAGATATATCCAACCAATTCATCTTAGCATTCCTATACAGCGATATACCCTCAAACAAGTTGTTCCTTAGCTTAAGAACTTCTAGATTCATATTATTTTTGATCAACCAATTTGGGATGTGTCCCTCCAAGGAGTTGTGAGACAAGTCTACTGTGTGTAATTTGTGTTGGTGAATTAGAAACCCAGGGATAGCACGTCCTTTACGTATTTTCATATTACAATTAGATAGCTTAATAATTTCCAACTGGAACGTTGGAATCCAACCTATAGGCTCTTCCGTTTCCACCTCAAATCTGTCATTGTCGCTTGAAAATCGAATTACCTCAAGCTTTGAATGATTGGAGAACGAGCTGAAGGAGAATGAACCTTCAAATATGTTATGACTAAAATCAATGTATTCAAGCGATGTAAGATTAGCAATGAGTGATGGCACAATTTTTCCAGTGAATCGATTTGAAGAAATATCCAACAAGTTAAGAGATGTTAGATTTTTCAAACACTGAGGCAGAGTTCCATGGAGCATGTTGTTACTAAGATCCAACTCACGGAGGTTCTTCAACTCACAAAACCCTGTCAAAGGAGAAAAAAAAGTTATTATGCGTAAGCCATGAAATTCAAAAGGTAAGTTACAAAAGATTAACCTTCAAAAAACATATGACTTGCATTTGCATGGTCATACGGCTTCAAAAAAGATTTAATATTGAGGAAAGATAGTTTTACAAAATAATCACAACATTCAAAAGTGCATGCTTAAGATAACTTACCATGATAAGGTAATGAGCCATTAAGATTATTGTAACTGAATGAGACAGCTCTTAGGGAAGCTAATGTTTGTATTGTTGATGGGATGCTTCCAATAAAACTGTTGTGACTCAAATCTAAGACATCCAGATGGTGGAAAGATGCAAAAGCTGGATGCAACAAGAGAGGGGTTACATATGTTGGTTACTAAACAAAAATCCTGAATTCTTAAACCAATAATAATGTTGCTAATTAAGTAACTATGAAATAACGTTACCTTCGATTGGTATCGTTCCATTGAAATTGTTACCTCTCAAGATGAGGACTTCCAAATCAGACAAATGAAGGAATTCTGAATTAGATAGAGAGGCATACTAATCAGTTTAATAAAACGATTAGCAAAATGGAAATTAACAAAAAACATATTTGTATTTGATATCTTTATTGATGACTCTTTTAAGATAATTAAACATGCCTTGGATGGGAAAGGAACCTCCCAATGACTTAGAAGATGCAAGATCAAGAATCTTGAGGGATGGGAGGACACTTAGGCATGATATGATGCTCTTGTTGAAATTGTTTTCTGAAAGATTTATACTCTCCAGCCATTTCAATCTTGATAAGCTCTTACAACCTGTAAAAAAGGAAGGCAATTCATACAGAAACCATGTATGGTCTTGTAAAGTTTCTAATTAAAGAAGAATTTAGGATTCATTAGCATTCATGTTGAAAATATCCTTGTTCAAATTGATTCAAACTTAAAACGTTATATGTTTTGGTTGTTGCATTTATTTATTTATTTTGCAGGGTTAGAATGGTAAATGTATTTTGTACTTGCTTTGTTAAGTATTTGTCTTGAAGGTTGAATATTGTAATATGGAGAAACTTGTGGACTGCGGAGCACTAAATACAAAGTTGAGCTGTAGAACACGTGGATCTTTTCTATTTGGGTCGGGTTGTTGACCCGGTGTACTTAAACTTTGCAGCTGTGATGGATTATTCATTCGAGTCATTTTTCATCTTAGATGGCGTTTAGGATTGCTTTTAAGTGACTTTTTGACTTTTGGTTTTTCCAAAAAGTCAAAAAGTTCTAAAAAAATGTTTGACATTTACAAAAGGCCTTTTAAAATTAATTTTTTGGCAATCAGGAATGAATGGTTTTTCAAAAGACAAGAAATCGTGACTTTTGTGATTTTTGCCTTCTTAAAAGGTAAATTACCTTCAAAAGTCAATAAATATTAAGCAAACACTTTTTAAAACTGACTTTTGACTTTTGCCCCCTCAAAAGCTTAAGTCAAAAAGTTCTTTTGAGCTTAAAAAGCAATCCCAAACACCCTCTTACACTTCTACGAGTTGTTCTCTCATTCTCTCCCTCTCTAGATTAAGGTTTTACAATGTTCTTCATTGTTCATATATATCGTTGTAGATTAGGGTTGAGTGAAGTGTTCTGAGAGTAGAGTAGGTTTTGTGTAGTGAGTTTTGTGTTGTAAGTTCATGAAAACCATATGTTTCTTAATCCTCAAATGATACAAGAAACATTGATGTTGGGAATATTGTTTCTTTATTTTTTCACAATTCATTAGTGACAAGTTACCATGGCTAGAATAATTACAATCTGTAGAAAAAAAAAGATAATTCTTAGAGATATCATCGATTCATCGTCTTGTAAAGTTTGTAATTATGGAAGAATTATGATCCATTGGCGTTCAACGACTTTATTTTTTGAACTATTCACAAGTTACCAGGGATAACAGAAGCTAGTTATTCATTTACCTTGGAAATTGGGTGTGCCATCAAGTCCGGTATACCTTAAATTCAGCTCCTCCAGGTTTTTCAGATGTGATAATTCTGTCATACGAAAAGAAAAACGTATATCATGCAAATGTATATTTTGAAAGATAGTTTGGAGAATTATATGTTCATTATTCTTTGTACATCATTATAACTAGTTAGCCTTATTTAGAGTGTGATATCGATTAAATTCATATGGTTTCAAAATGTTGCTCTTACAACTTTAGAAGGGACTATATACAAAAGTATAAATGCAAATGTTAGGTAATAAATAACCTATATTGGTAGCATGTACCTTGAGCAGGAAATGGTCCTGACATTGGATTGTTGCTAATATCCAAGCTTGTAATCGATGAAAGGGTATTTAAAAATGTTACAATGCTTTCATTGAACTTGTTGGACCCAAGATTTAAAGTTTTCAACTTCCTGAATATGGAAACCCTCTCAGAACCTACATTAAGGAATTGAAGCAATCGAATTTATAAGCTATAGTTTGATACAACGACAAAGCTGTTTAGGAGATATACAAGTATATACATTTATATCCATTTTTTTAGTACTGTTATCCTTCCCCTAAAAGAATCGTTGTTATATCTAACCGAGTGACTTGATTGTAGGATATTGTAGTAGTACTATCTCTACCAGAATACTTTAAATTTCAACACATGAAAGAGTCAATCTGCTATACATGGTTATATAATGTTGCAACTTGCAAAAGAGGGATTTGTGTATGAATTCCATTTAGGTGAGTATATTGGCATGATAGATTTATGATGATAATGATTACCTTGAATCTCAAAGATACCATTGAAGCCACAGTAGCTTAGATCCAACATCTCCAAGTTCTCTAAAGCAGCAAATTCTGCAAATCATTTGAAAATTGAAGTGGGTGTAAGTATCTTTAAAACATACATTTGTGCATGTATGCATGATAACTTAAAAGAAGACATGAAAAGACGAAAACATGCCACTGATAGGGAAGTTCCCATTCAATCCAGTGTAACTAAGATCCAATACTTTGAGTGAAGTGAATTTTCTCAATGATGGAAGGATGTCGTTATCAATATCAGTATTGAAACTGAGGTCTAGTATCTCCAACTTGTTCAAGCTCGACAACCTTTCAAGCCCTGAAAAAGAGAAAACATCTTAGTGATCTTGTGATATAGAAAGGGCAACTTTTGGAGCAACATTGGTAAATACTAAAAAGTTGTAGCATGAATTGCAAGATCTGAAGTACACATAAAATCTTGTGTTTGGCCTTTTATATATAGAAAAATACTATACAATTACTAATTTAGTTACCTAAGAAGCGTCTATGAGTGCATAAATTAGTTGGATGTTGTGTTCATGAATTACCTGTCTTCATAATCGCTTTATGATCAAGATAATCATATGACAAATTGAGACTTCTCAACTCCTTAAAATGAAGAAACAAGGAAACATTCAATGGCCAAAACTTGCTCTCAGCCTCCACCCCTCTCAAATTGTACAAAGAAAGATCTGTGACATGTCCGGTGGTTGTGTTGCAGTTGACTCTCTCCCAATCACAACAGTTGCAGCCCGTATCCCCAGGGGTACTACTGTCATAATCAACCCAAGTAGGGAGAAAATGGTCAATTTCGGAATCATATGACTTCATATGGGAAGCTTTGATTTCGAGTAGTGCTTTTCTCTCCTCTTCTATACAATCACTTTCTGTTAGCCCAGCCATAAGAATATGTATCATAGTCGACATCAACAACCAATATAGCAATGATTTACGCTTACTACAGGCCCAACATTCCATTTTAGTAGCTAATGATGGCTTTATAGAGACATTCACAATATTAAACCTCCTTTAGATTTGGTTTGCTTAGAAAACATTTGATATGTGATGAAATGAAAATGTATGAATATTAATTGCATAATTCGTCAAGTCAATGCTAAAAATTTCGACACATAACTCTATCCATTATCAGCCTTTCCTTCAGATTGACCCTTTCGGAGTAGGACACTCCCAAATATTTATGACACAGCATTTGTTGACTTTTTAACAAACGTCCATGTCTCCATTCACATTGAAGATATTTGCCCGATTATTTTAAAATTACTTTTATATCTTTTTAAATTTCTTTAATCTTTTGTTTAATTTTAGTTAAAAGCCCCATACCCTTAACCTTAACTTTTTCTAATTTCTTGGGACATTTCTATTCTCTCTGTTCTCTCTTTCCTACTGGCGCCACCGCCACCAAATCAGCAGCTCCGCCTTGGCCACCACCTACGGCCTCTTAACCCTTGACCCGTCATTCTATCCCACCGCTATACCCCATCATCTCGTTCAGTGTTGATGGCGGTGGTTTGCGGTGGCTGATTGCGTTGTTCTTCTCTGTCGTTTGCGACAGTGGGGTAAGGGAGTGGTGATGGAAGGTCAGACGACGACAATGGGGGTCAACATTAAAAGTCTAACGGGATGTTCATGAGATTATTGCCCGTAACGATATCCATCTCCCAAAACGGATGCAGAGACCTGGTGTTAATAAAGAGACCACGATGAAGTCGATTCCGGCGATGATTTCATTATGGTTTGATATCGATCTCCTGGTTTTCCCTCTGTAAATTTGATTTTGCTATTCTTGAAAAATATTTTGCTCTCCCTAGGTAAATTTGATTTTGTTTTTTATTTTCTAGGTATGATTTGAGGACTTGACAGCAGACCATCTCTGCTAAGGTGTTGTTTGGTTCGCAGAATGTTGCTGAAGGAATTTGAATTGGAATTGGAAAAAGAATCTGTTAGGAATTTGAATCCAATTCCATATGCTGTTTGGTTGGCAGGAAATGGAATTAGAATTAATTCTAAATTTTGTTTGGTTCACACGAAATGTAATTGGAATTCATGTAAAATGACATAATTACCCTTTTTGCATGTTTTTCTTAATTTTATATTGTTTTCTAACTTATATGTAAAGATAAAATTATAAAAACAGTAAAATTTCGGCGGTGATGGTGGCGGCGATGGTGGTCGTGGCATTGATTGTAGTAGCGGAAGTGGTGGTGGTGGGTGGTCATTGCAACGGAGGCGGTGGGTGGTGGTCATGGCGACAGTGATGGTGGGTGGTGGTGGCGGTGGTGGTGGTGGTGGGTGGTGGTCATGGCGGTGGTAGTGGTGGTCGGTGGTGGTGGCGGGAGTCGTTGCAACGGAGGCGGTGGTAGTGGCTATGGCGGCAGCGAAGGTAGTGGTGGTGGTCAGTGGTCGGTGGGGCGGCAACGGTGGCGATGGTGGTGGTGGTGGCGGCGGTGGTGGACTGGTGATGGCGGCGGTGGACTGGTGGCGGCGGCGGTGGTGGTGGTGGTGGCGGTGGTGGTGGTGGTGGTGGTGGCGGTGGTGGTAGTCAGTGATAGTGGTGGTGGTGGTGGTGGTAGTGGTGGTGGGTTTTTTGATAAGTACAAGAGGTATTTTTGTAATCTGCCACTTTCCTTCATGAGAAGGAATGTTTTCCATCCAACTTTGGAAGGAATTCACTTTCCTCCATATGGTGGAAAGTTTATTTCATTTAGGAATCATTTTCCTTTCTCTAAGTCCAACCAAACACATGAATTCGAGGGAATTGGAATCCTTTTCCCTCGAATTCCATTCCTTTCCTGCCAACCAAACGCACCCTAATTGTGCCGCATTAGCTTTTATAATTATCACTAATTTCAATCCAATATCAACTCTCTTTTAAAGCAGAACCCACTCCATGAAGAGCATAACCAATGATTATTACATTATGACTTAAAACAACCTACATGTCATTATTCTTTTAATTTTAACCTCTAAATAAATGAATGCTCCGATTATTAAGCTTATTTATATAGGTTTTTCATAAATTTTAACTAATTCACCATCATTTTTCTAAAATGTTTTATAAAACTTATTCATTTAATTAGTCTATTTTTAAACACAAATAATATTTTAATATGAATATATAAATACAAATATATCGGTTCTTTATTTATGTATGTAAAATACGAAAAATTATTATGTTATAGTTACAAAAATAAAATAAAAACATTGAAAATATTGTTTTATCGTCATAAAAATTATATTTATAAATAAGATGGTATTAAACAGTTAGTAGGAATAATTAATTAGTAAAAAGATAAAAAAATATTTAAAACTAAATTATAATTAAAGATGTAAATTGAAAAATGGTTAAAATATAAAGGGTTAAATGTACAAATTATGAAAGTAAATTGACCATTCAATATATATGGTAAAAAAAAATCTACTTCAATGGTAATAAGTGGTCAAGTAAAAAAATACATAGTAATAAGTTATAAAAAAAACTCCCATTGAAAATGCTTTAATACATCAACAACTAATTTACAATTTTAAAATATATCTGAAATATATTATAATTACTATATATTATATATATGTGTGTGTTGTATATCATAATACATATAAATTGCAAATGATAATTCATAAAGCAAAGAATGGCCCCACTTATTTATGGTTGCAAGGCTTTCGGCTTTCTGTAGTTGCAGCAACTTAGCCAACATGACTTTCAAACATTGTCGAGGTGGCTTTTGCAAAGTAATATAAGGCACCGTTGTGGGTGCTCTTAGTGCTACGGATGCTTGGAGTTAAAGCACACATTGATGTTCTCTAAATTTTCAGTCTTTAGTTAATTAGGTCGGTGAACTTTATGATGGTGTAGGATCAGGGTTTTTTTGTGGGTTCTAAGCCTTGATTTGGATTTTGTGAATTTTCATATTGCAATAAGGATATATATATATATATATATATATATATATATATATATATATATATATATATATATATATATATATATATATATATATATTTGTTTAAATGGAAAATTGAATAACAAATCATTATAAATAAGTTTTTTAAAAAATAATATTTTTTTTTCAGTTTTTGACAAGTGACCGCTTACTCATGAATACACCATCCCGAATTTGATCTTCAAATTTCAGAATTCTTTTTTAGTTTTTTTTTTCAAAGAAACATTTCTACTTATGTCTGAAATGTTCATTTCTAAGTGTTTAATACTGTTTTTCAATAAAATGTCTAATTTTATGTTCTAATATCGTATATAGTTCATATTTACTATGTTTGTTTAATTTTTTGTTAGATTTAAGTAAAAAACAAACTTTTATCGAAATTCCAGAATGATTGGATTTCAGACTTGTTCTTAAATTTCAGAGATTTTTTTTGAACTCTGTTCGGAATTTCGGAATGTCAGTCTGAAATGTATTTTTTTTTTGTCAAAAAAATGTTTTTTCTCAGTCCAAAACAGTCCAAAGTGCCCACTTCGAACTTCAAATACACATTAAATTGTGGGTAGATTACTTAATGTTCCCTGTATGTTTTATGAGTTTTAATTCAGATTTCATGTAACCCGTCGCCGAATAGATGGTTCCCAGAGGTGGCGGTGGAGGAGACGGGAAACAAAGAGAAAAAGAGATAGGGGTGGATATAGGTGTATGTGGTTTTGGTTAGAGCTGGCAATGAGTCGATCTGGGTTGGGTTCGGGTTTAACCTATTTATTAATTGGGTTGAAAATTTCAACCTAACCTAACATATTTATTTAAATGAGTTGATATTTCCAACCCAACCAAACCTTTCAGATCAATGGGTTGTCACCGAGTTTACCTACTTATATTATTTCTCAACCCAACCTATTAAATAAATGGGTTAAACTTGAGTTAACTCATTTAAAATTAAGCAAAGTAAATAAATTAACTAAGATTACACCATTTAAATTAGTTTCAAACTTAAATAAAATTTCAAAATAAGACAACAACATGAGCACAATTCACAAATACAAATAAATGTTCAAATAACATTAAAATATTTGAATTTCGAAATGAAGTTGGAGGGATAAGAATTAGGATTGTAATTATTTAAATATAAATAATAATACAACATTATAATTTATATTTATAAATTAATCCTTAGATTAATACATTATAATTTTTAAATTATTATTAAATTAAATATATATTATAGTTAAATGGGTTGGTGGGTTGAATACATATTCATAATTTTTACCCAACCCAACCTATTTAATTAAATGGATTAGAGGGGTCAATCCATTTAACATAAATAGGTTTAAAAATCTTAACCCTGCCTACTGATTTTAGGTTAGGTTCGGGTTGGGTTAGCGGGTTGAGTTGATTTTTATGTGGGGGTGGGGTATTATTATTATTATTATTATTATTATTATTATTATAAAAGTCATTTAAAGGAAATATAAAACAAATAGAAGATATTAAAATCATTTTATATGGGTCAGTAACCAACCATACAAAAAACTAAAACGAAAAAAGTTAGAGAAGAAACTTACAAATATGAAAAAACACATGGACCATTTATATAATTTTGTCATTAAAAAATTAACAAGAAACTCTACAATCACAGGTAACATATACAGAAATTAGATTTTTTTCAAAATTGAACTTGTTAAAGGAGCTTTGTACTTGAGGATGAACAAGCAGGCTCCATGTAGTGAAAGACAATCATGTCACCTCATGCGCAACACTCAGTGTAGTGAAATTCGATCTGCAACCGATGATGAACAAGTGGGCTAGATGCATCCACCAACCCTTTCTCCACATCCGTTTGCAATTCCCTTAACGGAATCGCAGCCAAAAAGTTTTTAATATACTCCTTACACGACTCTTTACCTTTCGACACCACGATCTCCTCTTTCTCATACGGTAGTC